CAGAATCTTTTAGAAACTGTAAAGATTACAGAACCTTTTTAAGACTTTCAAGGAATTTTTTATGTAAGTTTTACCGTAATTTTTATTCTGTCAATCTTACTTCTACTTTCAATTGCATATTGCTTAATTTGTGAATAACTTAATTTGATTTATTTTAATTGTAATTGATGTATTTTTAACAGGGAAGAGCCACCTAGTGGATCTATTAATAAACCATTATTATTGTTATTATGTCGCAGAGAAATCAACTGAATGCTACATTCTAATCAGGCAGCACAGGGCGAAAACCGTAACCTGTGAGCCATGGAGTAAAAAAATAAATGTACATTAACTAATCCTAAAAAGCTTTTCCGTTGTGTCTACGGTCCTCCTTCTGACAGAAAGTCAAACTGCCACCTTATTATCATTATTATTATTATTATTATTATTATTATTATTATTATTATAGAGTCGAGATGCTATTCCATCGTAGGATCTTCTACTGTTCCCCCCACCCCTCTTACCATTTGTATTGCAGGACGTACGTTCCTTTCCCCTTCCCCTCCGCTGCCCCTGTGGGAACTGGAGGATTTAAGACGAGTCAGTGAGAGGTTTACCGGGGGTCTGGCACTAATAATCGATGCTAGACACCGCTGCAGACTTCTCGCCGGCTCGCGTTGCTCGAGGCTTTATGCTTAATTATTTTTGTCTACTATGTAGTGATTGGATTTTCCAAAGAGAAGAGAGAAAATTATCCCAAACAGGCCTTTGAACAAGGAATTAGAGAAATCCGGGTTAAAATTTAACCTCGGGTCAACGCTAATCGGTTGTCGAACGACCAGCCCTGAGTAGATATATCCACTGACTGTGCGCTGTTGTATGCCTTTCAGATGAAGATGAGTGTAAGACAAGGAAACACAACTGCGAGAAACAGAGTTACTGCCGTAACACGCCAGGTAGTTTTAAATGCGAGTGTCCAAAAGGTTTTGAGAAGGATGGCCATAAATGCAGGGCCACGAGACTTACACGTTGGCTCACTCCCAAGTACTTGTTGAGGGACATTAAACAAGGGGTCTGGGACACCCTCGCCGTTGCAGGCTCTGCTTGCGTCATAGTTCTGGCTCTGCTTATCATTTTCATGGTAAAGTTGAGGAAATGTTGCAAAAAATGTTGCAAAAAACCTGGATATGAAGGTAAGAAACTTAATTAGTCTTTTGTATTTTCTCAGTCACCAGATTTGATCCTCGGGAAGCAGAGGATTATGCTTGCTTTTAATCAACTGTTTCTTCATTGGATCGTTTTTCAGATCAATTTTACTACCCTGATGAAATGTACGATCCTGATCAAATGTTCTTTGCTGAAAGTGAACCAATGTTCTATCCAGAAGAGATGGCCTACCACGGAGAAGAAATGATGTATCCCGCGAAGGGAATGTATCCCGAGGGATATTCCGAGGATGGGATGTATTGCGAAGGATACCCCGAGGATGAATATTATCCCGAGGGAGTGGAAGATGCTAACCACGGCCTGGACATGACTGACAAGAGTATTTTTAACTTAAATGTGAAACGTTCTGAGAACGTCCCGGTTACTTATTATGACAATGACAATGAAGATCTTTCAGATGAGTACGACTAATACAAATTTGACTTTAAGTATACCCTTTTATTGACTCTGGCAAGTTGACTGAAACTTGTGTTGATTTCATTCAAATAACCTTTACTTGTATTGACAGTAACTTAAATTCCCTTTTAAGACTTGAATCTGACCTGTATTGACCCATTTTTTCGGATGTGGTTCGTTCGGACTTTGACCGCTCAACTATCAACAGTGTTGTAGAGATGCAGTCGCAATGATTAATTTTGTGCCGGCTACAAGGAGGCTTTTTCGCTTCCGAGGTGTATACATGTTAACACGGACTAAAAATCGACTGAATGTCTTTAAAAACTGTCAAGAAATGGAGAGTTTTTGTTATATTGAACTTTTCTTCATTTCAATCTCGGCTCTTTGTTAAACGCGGAAGTTCTCTCTCTTTTTTTTCATTTATTCCTTGGTATTTATGAATTGTAAACTTACAAGTTTCCAACTATCTAGTTATCAATGAATCATACATTCATTCCTTTGCAGAGCGGATTAATGAGGTAAAATGACATTTTTTATTCAAAATTTTACATGCCGTGCATAATCTAACATATTTGACAATGTCTCAACAAAGTCTCAATAAAAATTCTGGTGCAAAACTCTGGATTTTGGAAAGTATTTTTTACCATAATTGTCTTTCACCTTTCTTTACTCTAAATTCTTGGTTAAGAGAGTTGTGTGCTGTGGTACCCCTCCCTTGTTAAGGTTTTTCGTCACCTTTCCCCCCCTTCTCTCCACCCCACGTTCACGAAGTGGTTACCTTGTACAATTCCTAAATGCTCCAAACTTTCCGAGCAACAAAGCCTGGTTATTTCTTTATAAGCTTCCCTACGTTCCTCAATGCACTGTCGTGCCTGCGTAAGCACGCGTGAGTGCTGAAGGGAATAGGGGCCTCAAGCAACCACGACGGCGACGGCAACGAGGACGTGGAAAAACAAGAGATCTAATTGGCAGAACAATAGCTCAGCACGTCCATTTTGAAACTTTGTAAATTTCTTAGCCGTCCTATGCAGAACAACGTGAAATCGCCAAAATTTGCGTCGTCTGCGAACCGAACCCGCGACGGCAAATTATTTTAATTTCCATTTGGAACTCAACGCTACTTTTATACGTCATGCTGAAGTTGAGCTGTGGCACCGTACGAGACAGTAAGCTCATATAGCCATTTTTGAAATTCTAACTAAGCGTAGAAATTAATTTTTGAATCGAAGTCTTCCTTGGAGTTGCCGTCCTGACTGCTTAAGGTCCCTAATGAGGTTGATGAAGAGACGCTTTTGATTTCTAAAGGATGATAAAAAATGCAACACATAATTTTGTTGGCGGTGTTATATCTGTTTAGCTGACGTGAAAACCACAAGAATATTGATGTTTAAGAAAAGGAGAACATGATTTATTTCAGTTTTTGTGATAGGCTTTACATGGTTTTCACATTAAACCGTCTGGGCCATTTACATTTCCTCCACCTCTCCTGGGGTTATAATCCATAATCTTTAACAAACACTTGATAAAACAAACACACAACATGAAGTTTGAAATAAAAAAAGAACATTTATTTCCATCTCTTTGCATTAGCAAGGCATTCAAATTTTTCGAGGGGCAACAACAAGGAGACGGGGGAAGTAAAACATTACATAATGCAATAATTAACATGTGAAGGCAACTAGGAAAGTATTATTTTACCAAAATATTTAAGAATGATCTCTTCATAAATGAATAAGAAACTAATCTGGATTCTGTCCTCGTGTACCGGTTCACAAGAGCCAATACAAAAGACCAAACAATACACAATAGCTAACCGATGACTCCTAAACAAAGAAAGAACAATGGTAATTCCCTTGTGAACAGGTACACCAGGACAGAACCCTAATCTGTACAGTTCACAATCTCTTCACAGTAGAAAATCAAGCTCTCTTTTCACAAGAAAACAGGCTCTGACACTAGGTCATCATGAAATTCAGGAGCAAATTGTTGTTCTTTGATGACACCACAAATCTTTGATCAAATGGAAACTTAACTTTTACTGAAGGGGTAAGAAACTTGCGTCATTCCCAACTATAATCAAGCTATGAATTTTGATGAAGTGCCCTTTTTTTTCTCTCCAGGCATATAGAGATCATCTCAGGAAACACCTTTTTTTTTTAACTAAGCTACATTTACCCTTAACTTTCCACGCACAAAATTTCTCAGCAGTGCAGCTGAAGAAATTCAACAAGGCATTCCATTATAATACCCCTTGTTCAGAAACTGATACAATTCAGTAATTGAACGAGGGACTTTGGTGACAAATAATCTTTGATAGACAAGTTCTTTTTCTTTGATTAAGTATTATCATAACAAAAAAAGCATAAATGGATAGCGGAAACAGGAAACTTGCTAGTCTAAATGCAGTTTTAAAATAGAATAATGTCAGAAAAATTGCTATACCTTGACAATGTAAAGGCATGCAATATTACAGGCACTTCTAAGGCACTTTCCTTTCTACCCTCTTGTACCTAGTTAGCATACTAGTAAAACCTTTTTATTTCATCATGGCTATAGGAAAGCAATGCCCAAAAACAAGTCAAACTTTAATTAGAAAATTGGCCTCAAGTTTGTGCCAGCTGACTTTTTCAAAGGCAATGACAGAGAATAGATTTAAAACTTCAAAGACCACTCAATATATGCAAATCATTTTACTATTTCAATTACTATATATATAAAAAAAAAAAAAGGCAAAAGGAAAAAAACAGCAATCATAACAAAAGAATATAATTCAGAGGAGTGAGAAATCATAATTCCAAGTAAAATTTCTTAAAGGTTCATGTGTGTTGTGGCTGAATGTTAATTATCTATTTTGACAAAAACAAGGTACAAAGCTACCAAAGAATTACATGACCAAATGTTTTTACCTCTCATAAATTCATTGTGGTGGCTTCCTTTCTACTAAGATCTCATTTTTCACCTCAACTATTTCAAAGAGCCTTCTTGACTGTTGAGCCTCATTCACACTTAAAACAAAACATATCCCTGCCCTGTTTGCAAATACCAATAGAGATTTTGTTTAGTTTGCAGCACCTGAATACAACTTTACCACGTTGTAAGTATGTATCAATACAAACCAGGCCACACACTTCCAATTTCAACCGACCAAATATACTATTTTGCCATCAATTATTTCTCTGCACTTTTCCAAAATGGAGGCAGAAATGACCAGAAGTTTCTAAAGGAGAATTTATGTACACTTGATTGTTTTTTTTTCCTTCAACTAAAATGTAAGCAGACTATCTTTTCACCTTAAGACGAGATTGTTAGAAAGGCAAATGCTACCAAGTAAACCTCTTATCTTATGGCATAAAAAAAAATGATCACTTAGAAGAGCTTATTTGGAAGAGTTGTCCATTATTTCAATTTGAACTTTCCAGTTTTTTTCTTCCCATGTTAACAAAATCTCTATATCCTTTTTTTCTAATTACCTAACTGACTTCAACCAACTTTCACTCCCAACTTCTCTAGAACTTTGATTCCCTTCTCTTGGTACTCTTGCCGTGTCATCCAGAACCCTTCCTTGTCCTTCATAATGTCAGCCAGCACAGCACCACCAAGAAACACCATGTGTTTTCTTCTAGGTGGATCCTCAATTCTGATTTTAAATTTCTGCGAATAATAATAAAAACAAAAGCAACAACAACAAAACAAGTTAAATTTGGTTTGCAGAAACTTTTAACACACATTCTAATTTCTTCATGAAACAAAACAAACCCAAGACATCAAGACTGACTAACAAACCACACACAACCCACAATCTCTGTTTGCCCTGATGAAGGGTTACTGCTTGAGACCTCAGCTCTCAAAACTCTTTACCATGGTCAATTTACACGATCAACTCAATCGGTGAAATGAAATTATCTTCTGAGACAGCAAAAATTTTGAAAGGTTCATGATCATAAATCTAATTTCTGAGCTGGATCTCTTTAGTCCACAATATTTTACTAAGCATGAGTTATTGCAGTTGGCAGTTTTGACAGCATCCTTTGGAAATTTTCAAAATTTGATAGAGAACCTTGTCTAACCTCACAGTTAGACCAAATTAACAAAATTCAACTACTTTATCCATCAGAATTCAAGTTGTGTCTTGTGGCATGAACAACAGTATAAAAAGAAAAGGGGAGCTTATTAAGGTAGTTTACGCACCGACAACTTGGTGGTATCTCCCTTAAGAACTCTCTCCAAATACAGCTGTTTGATTTCCCTCTCTAGCCTGCTTGGTAGGCCAGGGTACATAGTGCTACCCCCAGACAGAACAATGTGCTTGTAAAATTCTGCTCTGGTGTCAATGTCTGCAGCCTGGATGGTGTTAAACAGGAGCTCTGCCACACCCACCCCTTCAATGTTGATAAGATGGGGTTGGAACAATGCTTCAGGTGCTTCGAATCTCTCACCGCTCATCTTCACAACTCTTCCATCTGGAAGCTTACAAAGAGGAATGAGTTAATGAGTCTCTGGTAGAGAAAGCAAGAACCTATCTGTACCTTTTCCATAGCTGAGAGTTGCACTGGCATGAATGAAATCCTGCCTTGAAAAAGATGAATATCTGACTCAGACTACAATTTTGGCTGGATTTATTATATGCTTAGACATGTTTATGAGGCTTCTTGCTTAAAAGTTAAATGGTGAAACAGATAACTAAGATATGAAAACCTTCAATCATATTTGATGAAGGTTTTTCGACTAAAAATTTTATTTATGACCTTTGAGAAAAATGCCACAAACACTAAGCTACATACACTGAGATGAAGCCTATACGTGTAAATTGACCTTTCATCCTATGTTGAGATTCAGTTTTTGTTTTTTTTTTTTAACTAACAACCATAAATGCCTCTAAAACTTACTGTGTACTGTTCTACAAGAACTGTTGTTTCTAAGGCCAGCTTTTGTTCTTGTTCAATGTTGTACCTAAAAAAAAAATTGAGTTTTACCATACTTCAATTAAGGCTAATTTCAGAAGGCTAATGAAAAAAGATTCTTCCAAAGCAGTTAACTTAAATAGTACACGAGAGATATTACTTTTTTGCAGCAAAGTGTGGAGGAAAATTTTACTTACCCTACATAACAGAGCTTTTCTTTCATCATACGGACAGTTTCAAAGTCAGCTGTGTGGTTGAAGGCATATCCACGCAGCAGAAGCAACTGTCAAACAAACACAAAATTTCCATTCAAAATACAAAGAACAAAGGGTGTTGTTGCAGTACTAAAATTTTGTTCTTTGCACTTTGGATTAGCTTAGCCCTATCACAAATTTTTTTTCAAGCTGTCCTTTTTAAGATATTGAGTACTTTTCATTGTTTAAGGAAATGCTACTTAGAGTTAGATACTAATGATTTCCATACCTATGTAGTAAATAGATTAAGGTTAATCCCCTAACTCCTAAGAGTGACCAACATCTCATTTCTCCTTACAATATCAACCATGAATCACATGCTAACATTGTGAGAATAAAGAAAACCAACACCAAAGAAAAAAGCTCTTGATTGTCAAACAAATTCACTTAGGAAGCACCTTAGGAAATGTACAGAGAACAGTATGGAGAATTTACAGACTTATGTTAAGGTGAAAAGGGTTAATAAATACCTTAATAAGATACTTTGTAATATCTCGTCCAGCTATGTCTAATCTCCTGGTGAGATGTGGTAGAGCAAAGCCTTCATAAACTGGGCAGATATGAGTCACTCCATCACCAGAGTCTATTACTACACCAGTCAGCAAACCTATAGATGGCAAGAAAAAAATTATTTTTTAAGTCCACGGAGTGAAGCAAGATAATTAAACATTAGATGATCTTGTCAAATATGAAAGAATAGCAAACAACCACTGGGAAAGTCATCAGTAAAGTCAAGGCAGCTGAATCGAACAATGACTTGCTCAGGTTGTCAAAATAACAGGCACTATCACTGACTTCTACTCAATTTCTTAGGATGTCAGTCACTAAAAACCTAAGGGTTACACTTGTTATATTGATAATACAAGAAGTTAGAATAGATAGGGGTAGGACACAAAGTATAGTTAGAGTATGTAACACAACTTTAGGAGGATAAAATGTGCAAAGAGCAGTCTAACTAACTTATGCTATGTCCACATTCTACCCACCTTGTGCATACAAAGTCAAAACAGCTTGAATAGCAATGTAAACACCTTCAAATTGGTAGTTTTCAAACATAACCTGTATTAAAAAAAATATCACAAATTAAGAAAATTAGTTTCATCATACCAGCTATGATTCAATAAAAGCAAGCATGGGTTCTGTATTGTTAACTTGTAGGACCCTCTCCAAATGTACTCAAACTTAAGATCTCTCATATTTCAAAAGTCACTTCAATATCTGAATCTGTGCTGAGATTTTCAAGTCAAACTTGACCCACTGACTGATAATGTCATGGACTGAAGTACAAGCAAAAACAATAAGGCACCAAACAGTCAACTTCCTTCTAGATCAGTGGCAATCTCTAGCCTTAGAGGAAAGTCACCATTTTGTAATGTGAGGTCCCTCATCACTGAAAACTTCAGTGCTGCAAAAATGTGCACAGATTATCCCATCAGTACTTGGATCTCAATACATTCTTCATAATTTAAGTTCTACGAATCTGGTTTCAAAACAAACTTTATACCCTGGGTGATATATTTCTTTATTCTTGTCACTTGTCTTCTTATAGCTAGTCGTGAATTTATGTTGTAAGAAATTTCCCTTTAAGCCACTCCTGCGAGTAAAAATTTTGAATGGTTTACAAGCCCAAATATTAAGAGCTTCCCCATCAAATAAAATAGTAGCAAAGGGAGAACTGGTCTTAACATTCCAGTAAAACCCCTCGGCCACGTTGTTTGAAAGGGGGTTAATGTTAATTTTAAAAGTTAACCCTGGCTTTAATTTCTCACATAGAGCGTATAGGGGCTGAGGCTTTATTGGGTCTTCTCTCTATATGACTTGAAATTAAGAAGAAAAAAAATACAAAAGAAAATCCCATTGTGGAGTTGCAAATTGAAAATTTACATCAACCCCTGGTTAGGTTACCTTTTTTGAACAACCTGACTCAGGATAAAGATTCTTTCTTTCACCATATGAGGAAATGAAATCAGTAACTTTTTTGTAAATTTATTCTAACGCTGTATGAATGGCTTCCAAATGCAAATCAATAAAGAAATGAACCTGCCATGATATGAGAAATCATTAGCTTCACAAGTGAGAGCAATGAATAGATTAAATACTAAAGAACGAGTCATAATCCCAGTTGACGAGACCCCAATACAAGACACACTCAAAGATAAGTTACATTTTTGTGGCATTAATTATTTGTTCCTCCAGATATTGTGCTGATCTGCTTAGCCATTTGTATTAACGTTTCCATACAAACTATGGCCTTCGAAATACTTTTAAAACTTTGCAAAAAACCTTGCTCAAATTTCTCTCATTTGAAGCATTGGCTCATGAAGTGAGCTTTGAAAACGAAATCTCAAGAGACCAAGATTTGTACACTAACCTCGATCATTTTCGCTCTGTTCTTCGTCGGATTCAAGGGCGGTTCGGTAAGCAGAACCTAAATGTAAAGACTGGATGAGAAGAACTGGACAAGAGTTGCCATTGAAGTTTTAATGGAGCAATAAAACTTACGTTATTAATTGTGAAGAAGGGGTAAGATAATGAAAGAGTTCTTAACTCACTTTGCAATTCTTCGGATCAACGTTAAGCTTTGTTTCTCCAAACGTGTAGTCCCATACATGTTTCATGTCCTCCCAGCTTCGAACAATCCCATTATCCATGGGATAGTTCACTTCTAACATGTGTCTAAGTTTGCTGGCTTCATCTCCGATCATCAAGTCCTGTAGGGCGAAACAAAGGACGTAGTTTTTTGATAGAAGACTATCTCAGTTTGAACGAGAGTAAAGCTTGAAATTTCCAGTTTAGTAAGAGATATCAGAACCTGAAACACCAACCTTCACTTCAATATCTCCTACTTTCGCAGTGGATCTTATAATAGGTCTGCCCACCATCGAAGGAAAGATATGAGCTGGGAAGTTCGAGCCTGCATATCCGCACTTGACAAACTGCAAAACAATATTAAAACAGAATGCTCCGCTTGTTCACATCACTTCCAGCTGTGTAAAAACTTATTGATCTTACCCCTGTTCCATTGTCGCACACGAGAACTTTATTTCCCTTGGCATCCATGACTTTCGTCAAAACCAAAATGGCCGCTGCTAACTTCCTCAACGCCGCCTTGTCACGTGACAGCCCGTTTCCTGACACCTCCCCCAAGGCCGCCATCGCCATCATGTACTTGCCTCGCTGCAAACTCCTTTAAGTTTGCCGACTTGCTTTTTCTCTCACTAGTAAATCTGGTGGCTGAACATAACAATTTTAACATATCCTAAAAGTTACAGATACGAAAAACAATTGGATATCCTTTAGAAAAAGTGTGATCAGAACATTTGGACTGTTTACATAGTTCCTTGCAAATAAGTTAATTTAAACTTCAGCATTGCGCCGTAGCGCTAACACGTTTTTAAATATCTTAAAATCTCAATCAGTAAAATCAGAACAAAAAACTTGTAACAATTCACTGAATCCAGGCTATTTCCGCCAACAAGTAAAGACATATACTTATGGATTTCCAAGAGGAATCACTTCCGTGTGACATAGCGACTACACCTCTGAGCCAACTTGAGCTTATTTTAAAAAATTTGATAGAAAATTTAATTAATGAAAGTTGGTTTAAGAGGCTCTTTAAAGCAGTCTTGGATTGCCAGAAATAAACGCGTTTCGAAACAATGGTGAGTTGGTAGTGGTGGAAAAGTTTTAGCGGCGGTTTCTCCGGCCTTGTTCTAACCGTCACTTTCCTTTTCGTGTTTTGCTAGAGTTTCACGTACTCCACGACTGTTTATTCTCGCATGACTTTTATTTTTGCACGACTTCCCCGTAACATCACTTTGTTTGATCGCTTTCCATTTCCTTCAATTTACCGTTTTTCTTTACCTTTTAATTATCGATTGGTCTCAACTTCTTAATAAGCTGCCCACAGCATCTATTCGGATGCTTGGAAAAGAAAGTACACCCTCTACTGTTTCTAAAAATCTTGGCATTCATATTGACCAATCACTAACTTACAACGAAAACCTTACTATAACAGCCTCTAATTGCCTACATAAAATTATACAAATCAATAGAATTAAACACTTTCCCATTGAAAACAGAAATCAATTCGAGATCACTCGACAGCAATGCTTGCTACGCATGCCTCTGTGTGGTTCCCAGAGATGTTGAACACTAGTCTATTGCAGAGACGTGAGAGGACTGGGACAAGTTTCTTATATTGATTACATTGAAAATCTAAACATTTCAACTGAAATGTTACTGAATGAAAAGCTACCCAGCCAAGTTTGAGAGTTTTCAGCCGAAAAGTATCCAAATTGGAGCCTTCCAAATGTTGCAAAAATTCCAAACAAACCCTTAAAATTTTTTGCCCTGTCTACCCAATCCATACAAACTCTTTATTTTAGGTGATATTTGAAAAGCTGTCATTTCGCCATTTTCCTCCTCTAAATACTTCTATTCTTGCTTAAGACTCTCAAATTTAGTTGATCTTTCATTTCAGGGGCGGATCCAGTAATGTTTGATTAGGGGTGTCCAAACCTTGGTTCAGAAAGGACTGTTGAACACCCCCCACACCCCCTCCCACCAGTCGCCGTTGCACGTTA